CATTAAATCTGTATTTTCCAAAGGAAGGCTTTCAATTCATACTATTAAAGCATTTAAAGGTAATTTTTCAATAATAATGAAATGACTGAGAAGTGCCACTTCTATTTTTTGCACTGCTCGTGAATTTACTCCAATTCCTCCATCCCTCAGTTCTGCTTGGGGAGCCCCAGGAATGAGAAATTTGGAATATTTCCTGATGAATCCCTCCCTCCGATCTTCCTCTCCTCTCCTCTCCTCTCCACTCCTCTCCTCCTCTCCTTACCCAGTCTTCACTGAGGCCACTTTTATCTTCACAGTTCTCCAAACACAGGAGACACTCTTTCTCCCTACATTGCTTTTGAGGCTGGTATTACTCAGCACTTTGATGTGTTTATCTGGACAGCAGCTTTCTGTGATAGGGAAGTGCTGCTATGGCCATTTATCAAAAGGAGAAAATGCAGAGCCACATGAAACTTGGTCCAGCATGTGGTGGCTAGTTGGGAAGTGGGAGATGGCATGGGATGAAGTCTTCACATTATAAAGTAAAATATGCAACACTTTCCTTTCTCAGGGAACCTCTCTCCTAAGAGAGAGCTTTTATTGCAAGACCAAAAAGGATCTTACCCATATGATGGTGTCTTTATCAGTCCTGAATTCCTGATTCAGCATGCCAGCCTTTATAAAAGCCTTTCCCACACATCTTGCCTTTCCCTGTCCCCTGAGGTGCCTAGCCCATTTCTGTGTGGCTCAGTAAGCCCCAGCATCCCAGTCAGTGCAAGAGATGAGTTGTGAATCCATCCCTAAGTGATTTATCCTGCATCAATATGCCAAAATCTTCCAGAACAAGGATCTGAACCCTGCTTCTGTGTCAATGCCTGACTGCTTGTGCTGGTATTTCTCCTAGCCTCATCCAGAAGGAATGCAAAAGTGAAAATCAGAACACACTGCTCTATTCTATTACCAAACAGAACAAGGCAAAGAAAATAACTCTGAGTAATCTCTGAAATCCAGAAAGGAACACTGGAGGACATAAATGAAATTAGTGTTTGCTTTGTAGATCGATCTTATTAAAAGATATACTTTCAAAGGGCAGTTTTATGGAAAGGATAGCAACTGAAGTCAGGGAAAGAGAGCTGCATTATTTAAAACCCTGGAACTGATTGCTATTGGAAATAATGTCTTGTAAGCAACAATCAACTAAAGGGAAAATAAATACATTATTGAATGTGACTCAAAGCAGTACACAAGCTCAGCAATTGATTTGTATTCTGGATTACCTTCCTACTTATCTTCCATCTCTACTGCAGATGCAGAACATTAACATTTAGGGCATTCTATTTTAATATAGGAAATAAGTTCCCACAGATTAGACTGGCTTTTAGCTCTTTGTAGACTGAAAATGTAGGCACTTAAAACTGGAAAGTTTTAAGTGCCTGTCTCACTTTCAGATGAAAGAACTTTTT